GCAGAAAAATAAAAAAACAAAAATCTGAAATTGCAAAAAAAAAAGGTAAAGAAAATATTTTTTTTTGTTGGAGGGGTGGGGTACGGGTAGAGGAGTAGTAGGGTGGATGGTAACGGAAAACTGAAATTAAAAAATAAAAAAAAATCCTTTTTTAGAAAGAGGGAATGAGGTGGGTTGGTAAGGGTGAGAAAAATTAACAAGGAGTTTTGGAAAATGTTTTCATTCGTACCAAATACACCCTTATTTCTCATTCTCATCGGATCTTGAGACGAGTCAATCTTGAATAAACAACAGATTTATTTTAAACTCCAATTAGAATCCCTCGTCAATCGTGTCCGTCTATTTCTACACCTCGCGGAGCAATCGTCGCCCTTCATAACATTTTCACCCAACCCTGCACTTTATAACTTATTTAGCGCCAAAATCCCTGCACTTCTTAACTTATTTTTATTACTCCCTATTTTACTTTTAACCCAAAACAAAAAGAATCTTAGGTAGCGCATTTCACTCCCTCCAGATTATCTTAAGCCACGTGACGGTAAATGATTTGATGCGTTTTATATTCCAAGCATCCTAGTGTATTAAGCAGCCAGTCATCTAACGGTGGAAAAGAAAACCTTCGATGCTTCTATGAATTTGAGCCGTGAGATTAATTCTCGCGATATTAACCGTAGGATGAGGTTAATGTGACGATCTTACCGTAATTACGAATTGAATTTCAAAAGCTAGAGAGGGAGAAAGGGAGAGACAAAGGCTCTTTCTTTTCTTTGAAAAGATCCCCTCTTTTCTCCGTCCGTCTATACGTACAGAGGATTTACACGCATGCGTATGTAACTGCGGATCGAGATTTTGTGGATTAAGTTTGAAAATTCCAGTCGATATTGGGGCGATTCTTCTCTTTTCTGTGAATGACTGAATGTCACTGTGTGAATGACATAGCTTCTTACTCTCGGATTTTGAATTTCTAAGATTTTCAATTCTATGAATTTCGAGGAATTTCCGTGAGAATTTCGCAGGAGAATCAGTGAATTTTCGAGGATCTTTTTGTACTATTTGTTTTTGAATGGAGAAAATTGAGGGAGGGGATTTCCCTCCAAAGAAAGCTCAATCAGAGCCGGCAGCTACGGCGGCTAGTGCTCACGTGGTAACGGATTATCCGGCGAAGAAGCTAGCGAGGCAGCTGGATTTCGCGGGATTCGGGGGAGCTGCGGCGGCGGATTTGCCGGAACAAGCTAAGCAGGTTCAGCAGCAGGTAATGAAGTCTGGTCAGTTACCAGTGTCGATGAAGCCAACACAGATGACAAGGCCACAATTACAGACGCAGGCACTGCCGCAATCGCAGCAACAACATATACTGTTGATGCCGATGCAACAAACTCCGGTGCAGCCTACTCATCCTTCCATACGACCTGTGTAAGTTTAGCCTGCAATTCGCGAGAAACTTCCAGTTTTTTTTTGTTTTGTTTTTTTGTTGAGGGAAATAATAAATATCGTTCTGTTGAGCTAAATTCGTTATTGAAGGTAGGTGCTTGAATTAAATGTTTTCACAAATTCTAATTCAATTGTTTGAAGTCCACCCGAGCAGCCTTTTTGAGCTCGTATTAACAGATTTTGATATTCCCTTCACCAAACATATGGCTTTCCATCTCCAACTTTGATGGAACTATGACAGATTATTTGGCGCTAATACCTAGACATGTTTCTGAGCTTTGTTTCTTGTATTGTATATTTCACTAGGATTTTATTAGAGTTTGGCTGCTTCTATAGATTTGTTGATTGGCTAGGCATTCTATGACTTCAGAAACAGAAAAGCTCATTTCTTGCTAGCCAGGGGAACTGTGGGATGTCCTCTAAGGAACTATTAAATAAGAGTTGTGTTCTCCCTTCTTTCTGTTTTCTCACATGGTATAATAGTAGGCAGAGGTCCCAATTTCAATTCTCACCACCCAACCATTAAGAATTTTCAATTGCTTGGCTCATGAAAAAAGAAAAAGAATTAGGCACATGTGAGGGGGCGTATTGAGACATTAATTAATTAAATAAAAGCTGTGTTCTCTCTTCTTTCTCATATATGATCATTGACAACTTATGCTAATCTATTAGGATACTGCGTGTGGTGTTATTTGTTATTCATATTTGAGGCTATCCACTTCTTTCACCTCCCATGTCTAGCAAAGAGTGGGAGGGGGAGGCATGTAGTGTTCTCTAGAAACAGTTGTGAGATCTGTATATCCTAATACACTTTCTCTTTCCAGGAAACCCGAATCACCAAAAGCCAGGTCAAGGCAAAGTGCCAATGAAGCAAAAGATGGTACACCTAAAAAGCCAAAGCAGTGTAACTGCAAACACTCTCGATGTTTGAAGTTGTAAGTA